AAGCACGTTTAAGTCTCGCCAAATTTGACAGTCACAATTGTTTTTAAGATTCATTTTTGTACACGATAAATACATTTTTTATTAACAATTTTAGTAACACCTGCACATGCTCGCTGCGCTCGCATTTACTAATACCTTCTGTATTGTTTTTATTCCATAGCTGTTATCACGAAAAAGTAAAATTCCGCAAAATCAAATGTGACAATGTTTCAGAGAGGCAGTATTTGTTGGACATATTTTCTTTGTTAGCGGTTAACTAAATAAAACACGGTTGTGAAGTTCAGTATTCTTGGCAAAAAACAAATACAAGATAATAAAACTGTGCTAAAATATATCAAATTAGGCTTTTACCTTCCTCCGTATAAAGGTAGAAACCCCTTAAGTTTCTTAAATCCCACGAGAAACTGTTTTATCGAGCGGGATAAAAAATAAGAGATTTTAGTCGGCGTGTGTGAAATTTCATCCAGATCTGTTAGATCATTCTTTCCCAACGTGAATGAGTAGCAGATTTTCAGTTTTTTAAAATATTTCACCCTTTTCCCCTTCAAGACACAATTAAAACTAATCCAAGACTACTTAACCTTTATGAGCATAAACCAAGTTGAAAACTCGCTCAACTTAAGAGTTCTTAAAAATAATTAAAGACCGTTTCTCACTTATTCGCTTCTCGAGGGTTGAATTTAGAGAAATCTCTTCCTGGCGGGTGCCTCCGTAGCAAGGGGAAACTACCCTAAGATTAGACGTTTCCATGTCCACGGGTTTGGGTTGAACGTTGATGAGTCAGTCAATTAGGGGTTGTCTCATTATACAGGGCGATTATAAAAGATCGTGCATTCAGTTGGCTTTTTTTTTAAGAAATGTGTAAGATGATCCCCATTTTGCTGTAAGAACGTTCGCACACGTCACAAAGTTAGGTTATGATAACACTGTGACAGGCGACAAGTAGTAATCAATCATCACAACGAGGCGGCAAAAAATACAAAATTGCAAAGCCAACATGATGTACGATCTTTATAATCATCTTGTGGGTAAAAAGTTTTTAGATTAGAGTAGGCTATGGACTGTTTTTTTTTCGTTTTAAAGTGTACACATACTTATGAAAGTACGTTTTGATAATAAAAGAGTAATTTACTCGAAACCATTAGAAACACCTGCTAATATAACTCACAGCTTAGGGCAATAAAACTGTTATTTCATTGTGTATGTAGTAAATATTCTTGAACTAGCTTTCATCGCTTATAATAGTGGCGCTATTAAAGTACTTAAAAATAACATCAACATAAAATTTAAGCATCTACTCGTCCCGGAACTATATTTACTGTCTCGAGTTTCTAGTTCCAACTCCTTTTCCGAGACCATCAATTCTGTTCACAGCTGTACATCCCAGTGGCGGCTCGTCAGGGGGGGCCAGTTAGGCCAGGCCGAGTCTGTCGTCGAACTTGTCAATTTTCGATATTAATTTTTATTTTAAGGGCAAGAATATACTTTACAGCTGTTTGAAATCATCTGATTTTACTGTTATTATTATTTTTTTAATTACAAAAAGCATTACCTAATTTATTTATATATAAATATATAAACTGCTTCGTTCGGTATCAAATCGTGCCGCGAAGTTTAAATATTTCTTTTGCAGCGAGAAGCAGCAGCTTCGGCCGGCCGACTGTGCGAATAACCCGCCGAATAATGTCGTATCTGCTATCGCTCTCTGTTTAGCAGAATTAAAAAGAAATAGCTGTAAAGACTGATACACACCGAATTAACGTGCCTGCAGCAGTGACGTGTGGCAAAATCGGCCGGCCGTTCTGCAGTATATCAATATATAGCGCTATCACCTTCTGTTTGTATAAGTTAGAATGCAATAGCGACGAAACCGTACAATATTTCCTTTCATCATTGCACTTATTCCGTGCACTTTTCCATGCGGTTCCCCACCACCTGCATCGGCTGGCCGTTATCTGTATTGTGAATTTCTGGAGTCTGCACGCGGGTGAAATTTAACAGTTGGTTTAGGTTTGTTTCTGTAACAATGACAGCAGTAAGAGAATTAGTAAGTGATTTAAATTTTGATATTGTCACATATCTGTTAAACAATGACTTTCGGCTTTTAACGTACGATGATAAAATGCTTGTAAAAGAAAGGGGCCGTCCGAAACCGCGTATGCAAAATTTAATCAAAGCACGGAACAATAATAACGTCAGTTCTGGTGCAAGAGCATTTAATACAGCATGGTATGAAAAATATGAATGGCTGACGGGGAGCGAGTCAAAAAACAAACTATTTTGTTGGTATTGTTTAATGTTTGGATATGATGTTGACAATAAATTAAAAAAAACTCCATGGAATTCTTTAGGCTATGATAACTTAAAAGACTTAAGTAAAGGACTGTCTACACATGGCACGGCGAAAGCTCATACATATGCTGCTTTGAAATTTAAAATATTTGGGAAACAAAATATTGCTAACGCGTTAGATGTCGGTCATCGTTTGTCGATTCAAAAACATAACGAGCAAGTCAAAGAAAATCGTGAGATTATGAAACGATTAATCGATATAGTTATTTTTTTGTCAAAACAAGAATTAGCGTTTAGGGGCCATTCTGAAAAGGAAGATTCAATTAATAAAGGAAATTTTAAAGAACTTGCAAAATTATTAGGAACTTACGACGAAAAATTCAAAAAATTTTTGGACGAATCATCTGTTTTTAGCGGTTTATCCAAAACGATTCAGAATGACTTAATCGATTCTGTATATCAAATTTTGTTTGACACCATTGAAAATGAATTAAAAAATGCTGTTTGCTTTTCTTGGCAAGTAGACGAAACGACGGATATTTCGTGTTTTTCACAACTCTCCATAATTGTTAGGTATACTCTTAAAGGAAATATTTTAGAACGATTTTTTGGTTTTTTTAATGTAAGTGAAGGCCGAAAGGCAGACGATTTATTTCGACTATTAATTGAAAAATTTGAACCCTTTTCAATTAAAGAAAAATTAGTGGGACAAACATACGATGGTGCTGCTGTTATGTCCGGCGAAATCAACGGTTTGCAAGCCAAAGTAAAATCTGTTGCCCCTCAGGCACTATTTACACATTGCTATGCACACAGATTAAATTTAATTTTACAAGATGCATGTGGCAAAATTAAAGAGTGTAGAATTTTTTTTGCTAATTTAACAGCTTTCTCGGCATTTTTTTCTAAATCGACAAAGCGTACTAAAATCTTGGATGATATTTGCAATAGACGGCTCCCAAAAAATTCCGAAACGCGGTGGAATTTTAAATCTCGAATTTTGACTGTAGTTTCAAGCAAACGCGAAGAATTATTGGAGGTATTTGACACCATTTTAAATAGTCCAGAATTTAGTAAAGACCACGACTCGACTCATGAAGCCACTGGTTTCAAAAAAATATTAAATGATTTCAAATTTTTATTTTTATTGAAAATATTTGATAAAATTTTTCAACAGACAGATTTAATTTTTTCTATTATTCAAAATAAATTATCTGATATTCCGTATTGTAGAAAAAGAATAGAAACACTTCTAGAGACAATTGAAAATTTTAGAACAGACGAATCAATTTTCCAAAATATCTTTGACGAGGTGACAAGTATTTTGGGTCCCCCTTTTAAAAAACGGAGAATTGATAACGAAGAAAATGACAGTATTTACTATAAAAGAATTTTTTACGAAATTTTGGATATCATTCGAAATCAAATCGCGAGTCGATTTGCCGATTTGAAAGATTTACAATTTTTTGAACTCGTAGATCGAACAAAATTTTCCCAGTTTCAAAAGACATTTCCTTATCACTTATTAAATGGTCTAATTCAAACGTATCAGTCTTTCTTTGACAAGACTAAATTGGAAAAAGAACTGGAGATTTTATATTCCGATGAAACTATTTTTGGCGACTCCTCCTCGTTTCAAGATATGTTACATTTTATTTGTTCCAATTCGCTGGAAAATATTGTGCCAGAAATTTACAAACTTCTATCTTTAATTTTAACTATACCAGCCACGTCAGCATCTGTTGAACGCAGTTTTTCAGCTTTAAAGCGAATTAAAAATTTTACTAGAAACTGTATTAGTCAAAATCGATTATCCAAATTATCCGTTTTAGCAATAGAAAAAGAACTGCTCACAAACTTGACTGAAGATCAAAAATTCTATAATCAAGTAATTGACCATTTTGCCGATGCAAAGCAAAGACGCATTGAATTGGTTTATAAAAATTTCTAATTTACTTTTTTAATTCGTTTTTTACTACTTAATAAATAGTTGTTGATGCTTCATATTATATTTTTTGTTAGAATGTGTTTTTATTTTATAATTTAAATGTTATTTTTATTTTTATTTGAGTTTATTGTCGTTATTCTATTATTATAGATTGCTTATGTATATATGCTTTACTTTATACGTATTTCAAGAATATTTTTTATTTTATTTCAGAAAAAAGTTGATTTTTGCACTTATTAATAATATTCATTATTTTTACATTTAATACATCCCATACTTCCATTACTAACAAACCTATCCTTATCCCAATCCCGGCGAGGAATACCTCAGACCTTCGCGTGGTCCTTGCTGAACAATATTTATAATTTGCAAAATGACAATTTTGCCAATTTGTTAGGTCTATATGAATCAACACCATTCAGGTAGCAAATTATATATAATGACTAACTTGAGGTCCCTGTTTCTTGTATTCTATATCTTAAAACCTTGGGTCACTCACTGCTGGCCGACCCAACCAAAATAGTCACGAGCCGCCACTGGTACATCCTACAAGCTGTCCTTCCCTCTCGAGTAACCCAGTTACGCTTAGAAAATTCAATCAATTCAAAGGATATTTTTCCTTCTCTGTGCACATTCCTCCCTTCTGTTTGCTTATGCGTAATCATCCCAGGACGGGAAATTACATGTTATCGTCAAGGAAACGTCGGGTTGAGTGGCAGGCGTAGGTAGGCACATAATACTAAGTCTTCTTCCTACTTACCTACAGGATTACTTTGTGTTGACAAGTTCGTTTTGTTGCTGACATCTGTTCCCGACTCCTAAAAAAGGACAAATCCAATAAAATAATTTGTTAAAGTGAAAGAAAGGGAAGAACGGAAGCGGCGATTTAATTACCTCTAGATAGAAATAATGGACTTGTACTTGGTGGGAAAAAAACAAAATCCAGATTAATCGAACGGGAAATCAGTTGATCCTACAAAGAGTTGGATGACTTTCATTATCGGAAATTTTTTCGACGCAAAATTACAGCCGGGCTTTGCGGCGGTTTACAAATACATTAGTGAATTAGATGTAAAATCAATGGTGATTTAATGGCGGAATTAAACTCTCTGGAATGTTAATGAGGATTACTTTATAATTAATAAAGAATCAAAGGGATGACGACACAAAACTCACTAATTTTGACCTCGTTTTGATGTCTATAAAAAAATTTGTACTCGTCGGAAACAATACAAACAAGAATTAAACCGCTCAACATTCACGTATAATTAATTTTTGCTGCGTGTAGAACGTCGATTACAATACCACAATCACTTTTCCCAGTGGGTTAAAAAAGCTCAATCGATGCTATGTTACAAATTTGTTTACTTAAAACTCCCCAGGTTGTCGTCGCGAGAAAAATGTCCGTTTTGTTTTTTGACGCTTCCGTGACTGCAGTAACTTTTCACTGTATCCAGACCCATACATTTACGGGTAATTCGATTTATTGTTAAGTCTGACTGGGAATAAAACGTTTTATGAATAAAGTTCTCTGCGCATTGCCATTCTTACGAGTGCGGTGAAAAATAGCGCTTTTATACCTTGATGACACTTTTACGCCTTTAATGGTTTATAGCACCGTAACCGGAATGATATAAGATCTGCCGGTATCTTTCTATTAACTTGTATTGTTCTACGTTTTTCTTTCGTGCTCGCAGAGATTAATTCAATCTTTCAAAAAAATAAAACCGTGCTGAACACACAACGCAGCAACGAGTGTTTGTTGCTTATTTTTTGAGCTTTTAAATGCCACAAACAACACAAAAGCTTTTATCCTTGATATATGAGTGGCGAACAAGTCGAAAATAAGCACCTCGTCTCGTAAATATGGCTGACTATTAGAGGGAGCGCCCTCTCTGGAAAATATGTTTTTCTTATCGGGCGAAGCCCTGGGAGCTTTCACTTTGGACGTTTATGCGTTTTCGTGAGGTTGCTGGATGTCTACGATTTTTTCCTTGGGGTCTTTATTTCACCACCGGAATGAATGTTTGGGGTGTTGGGATTCGACTTTTCGGGAAAAAAGGCGATATTTATTGCGTTCGGTAACGCCAACTCACCGAGTTGTAGGTGTGTTGAGAATCTTCGTAAACTACTAGGGATCTGTTTCCTATTGTAAATAATTTATTGGGGAACAAAGATGAATGTACATATTGTCTTTGTCTCACGCATAACTTTTTGTAAGCGCGTACATTTTTGAAGACATGAACATATTATATATACATTTTTACGTTATGTTATACTTAATATAAGCTGTATATTTAAAATTAAATTTAGGAAGCTATACAGAAAAAATTGGTCTAAAGAGTTTAGACAGTACTTCCCTCGCTGTCGGAAACTTGACGACTGCATGCCTATTGTGTTTTTTTTCTCATTACATTTTTGTAGTGGGAATTTAAAAAAAAATTGCGATGACGTCATCAACATTTTTGCAAGGACACGTATATCAGTTGGGATAGATGTAGTGTAATATTAAGAATAAAATTATTATATTCTCAAATTTTCGGGAAAATGAATTGGGTCGTTTTGAATATTGATTTGTAATAATCAATAAAATAACGAAACAATTTACTTACGTATACGTATCAGAGGCAACTGAAAATCGTGTATGTATAAACATTCTTAATTTAAGATGACAGGCGTAACAGCATACGTGAGAGTCAAACAGAGAAACTGTAAACAAAACGACCATCGGTTTTATTGCTTCGACTTCCGCTTATTACATATATAAAACATTGGGTTTTATTTTAATTCTTGACGGTGAAATTCACAATTGGTTGATTATAAACATGTCTATTTCACATTCGCGGAACCAAGTGAGCGCATAAAACAAATGCAGGTCTGTAATGTTAAAGTCTATGTAAATAAGCGTGCTACCCTTATGTTTCAACCGAGTTTTTCCTTTAACAAATTTTGTGTCTACCAAATTGGGTTGGTTGGGGTGTAATACTAATAATAAGTGTTGCCTTTAATTTAATCAATAAAATAAATTGACTTCATTAATTTTTTTGAACCACCTCTTAAGAAAATCTAAAAATATGAATGGAATGATAAATCACAAGTACAAACTCATCATATTTTTTGCATTTTAGATAGGATTTATTCAGCAAAATTTAAGGGTGACGTCATCAATTTTTTTAGGAGGGATGAACAAATACATTTTGAACAAAAGTTTACCATGCTTATAATAACTTTAAAATATTCCCAAGATTTCAAAGCATTCGGTTTTGTAATTCCTGATTAAATCGATAAAATAAATTCACGCCTTCATTAATTTTTTTGAGTCACCCTGCATATGCAAATCCAAAAATATGAATGGAATGATAAATCACAAGTACAGACTCATCATATTTTGTACATTTTAGATACGATTTATTCGGCAAACTTTTGAGCTGACGTCATCAGTTTTTTGTAGAAGATAACCAAATATATTTTGACTAAAAATTTATTATGCTCTTTATAACCTTAAAACATCTGCAAGATTTCAAAGCATTCGGTTTTGTAGTTCCTGATTAAATCAATAAAATAAATGTACGCATTCATAAATTTTTTTGAGTCACCCTGTATATGCAAATCGAAAAAATTTGAATGGAATGATAAATCACAAGAAGAGACTCACCATATTTTGTACATTTTAGATAGGATTTAGTCAGCAAAATTTTGTGGTGACGTCATAAATTTTTTAGGGGGGACGACCAAATACATTTTGATCAAAAATTTACCATGCTTATGATAATTTTAAAATATCTTCAAGATTTCGAAGCATTCGGTTTTGTAGTTCCTGAGTAAATCAGTAAAATAAATTTACGCTTTCATTTATTTTCTTGAATCACCCTGTATATGCAAATCCAAAAAATATGAATGGAGTGATAGATCACAAGTACAGACTGATCATATTTTGTACATTTTAGATATGATTTATTCGGCAAATTTTCGAGCTGACGTCATCAAGTTTTTGGAGGGGATAAGCAAATATATTTTGGCTAAACATTTATTATGCTCTTTATGATCTTAAAACATCTGCAAGATTTCAGAGCATTCGGTTTTGTAGTTCTTGATTAAATCAATAAAATATATTTACACATTCATTAATTTTTTTGAGTCACCCTGTATATGCAAATCCAAAAAATATGAATGGGGTGATAGATCACAAGTACAGACTCATCATATTTTGTACATTTTAGATATGATTTATTCCACAAACTTTTGAGCTGACGTCATCAAGTTTTTGGAGGGGATAAGCAAATATTTTTTGACTAAAGGTTTATGATGCTCTTTATAGCCTTAAAACATCTGCAACATTTCAAAGCATTCTGGTTAGCAGATTAAAAATTAAATTTCAAAATGTTGTTGTATAATTTTGATTTTTTTTCCAAAAATCTGGACGTTTCGGGTGAAAAGTCGATTCAGAGTTGTAAACTGCATGTGTAGGACTATGTTATTTTATACAATTGAAAACCCACTTACTATGTACAATTTTGAAGTGACGTCATCGCATTAGTGGTCGGGATGATTAGACAAATTTTGGTTAGCGTTTTACCATCTACATGGCTCCAGACCAACATTTTCGAAATTTGCGGTTTCCAAATCGAATTTTTAAAATACCTATCCCAAAAATGGTCATATTTCATTTTCATTCTGATAAACTGATTGTAGTTTTCGAAGGAATGTCTCTAAAAATGATTTTTGCGGGTCAAAATCAACACAAAAGGTCTTTTGGTAATTTTCGAAAAAACTCGGAAAAGAACAAAACTTTCATAAAAAGGAAAGGACTTTGAAAATTTGAGCCCTTGGCAAAGTTACCTAAAAATCCACAAAACATTATGGGATGGAGATATCGAGGAGCTGATTCGGAAAAGATAGCCTGATGATGGTCCCAGATAAAGATTTCCGAAATGTTTTGTTTCAAAATCGAATTTTTAATATAACTAAAAAATTGCCATAATTCACTTTGGTGATTTTTGAAAAGTGGTTGTAGTTTTTAAAGAAAAAATTCAAAAATTTCATAAAGGGTATGAAAAATTGAGCCTTTGGCCAAGTTACCTAAACATTATTAACAAAAAATTCTGAAATGTAAATATCAACAGGTTTATTCGAAAAACATAGTCTGTTGACAATTCCACACAAAGATTTTCGAAATTTTCGGTTCCAAAATCAGTTTTTTAAAGTATCCCAAAAATGGCCATATATCATTTTGGTGATTCTCGAAAATTGGTTGGAGTTCTTGAAAAAATATAGCCGGAAATGGTTTTTGCAATCGAAATAAACAAAAAATGTTTTTACGTGATTTTCAAAAGTGTCAAGAGAAATGTCAAACATTACGTAAGGGCTAACATTCAGCATTTGGCAAAGTTATCTAAAAATCCGCAAAAAAATCATGATTGTAGACAACTAATACACCGCCCACCCACCCTCTCTTCTCTTAAAGGATATCTCATTTGCCAAAATCAGTCTTATCTTGACAGCTACTAGCCCCGCCCACCCACCCTCTCTCTTCTTAGAAGGTATGTCACTGCCAAAATCAGTTTTATCTTAGCAAGTATTGATGATTAACTTTCGAAGAATTTCGAAGATTTTTCCGTGTATGGTTTTTGAAGCAATTTATTAGAATCTGGGGAACCCCTTGTGTCTTGTATTTGCAGTAATTTGGAAGAATCTAGAGAATCCCTTGTGCTTTGTATTTGAAGTATATTGTTTGAAATAATATCGGGATCTCTTGTGATTTGTTTTTAAACTAGTTTGAAAGAGTCTCGGGGGCCTATTGCGGATGGTTTTAGAAGTA